GACATAGGGAGACATAAGGAGACAGGGGAGACAAGGGGAGACATGGGGAGACAGTGGGACACATAGGGAGACAGGAGAGACACCAGGGAAACAGGAGGAGACATAGGGAGACAGGGGGAGACATAAGGAGACAGGGGAGACAGGGGGAGACAAAAGGAGACAGGAGGAGACATAGGTAGACATAGGGAGACATAAGGAGACATGGGGAGACAGTGGGACACATAGGGAGACAGGAGAGACACCAGGGAAACAGGAGGAGACATAGGGAGACATAAGGAGACAGGGGGAGACATGGGGAGACATAAGGAGACAGGGGAGACAGGGGGAGACAGTGGGACACATAGGGAGACAGGAGAGACACCAGGGAAACAGGAGGAGACATAGGGAGACATGGGGAGACAGGGGGAGAGAGGAGGAAACATAAGGAGACAGTGGAGACATAGGGATACAGGGGGAGACATAGGGAGACAGGGGGATACATAGGGAGACAGGGGAGACATGGGGAGACAGGGGGAGAGAGGAGGAAACATAAGGAGACAGTGGAGACATAGGGATACAGGGGGAGACATAGGGAGACAGGGGGATACATAGGGAGACAGGGGGATACATAGGGAGACAAGGGGAGACAGGGGAGACATGAGGAAACAGGGGGAGACATAAGGAGACAGGGGAGACAGGGGGAGACATAGGGAGACATGGGGAGACAGGAGAGACACCAGGGAAACAGGAGGAGACATAGGGAGACAGGGGGAGAGAGGAGGAAACATAAGGAGACAGGGGAGACATAGGGATACAGGGGGAGACATAGGGAGACAGGGGGAGACAGGGGAGACATGAGGAAACAGGGGGAGACATAAGGAGACAGGGGAGACATAGGGAGACAGTGGGACACATAGGGAGACAGGAGAGACACCAGGGAAACAGGAGGAGACAGGGGGAGACATAAGGAGACAGGGGAGACAGGAGGAGACATAGGTAGACATAGGGAGACATAAGGAGACAGGGGAGACAGTGGGACACATAGGGAGACAGGAGAGACACCAGGGAAACAGGAGGAGACATAGGGAGACAGGGGGAGACAGGAGGAAACAGGGGGAGACATAGGGAGACACGGGGAGACAGGAGAGACACCAGGGAAACAGGAGGAGACATAGGGAGACATAGGGAGACAGGGAAGACACAGGGAGACAATTTTAGGCATTAAAAGTGCTGACTTTACATATTTCGTGACTCTTACATGAAGTAATAACCTTTAAAAGGGGGCAAGCTCCCTGAAATTAGACCACCTTGTTCACCGTGAAGACAATATGTGTGCCATTGATTAGTCTCCAAATTTGACTAGTGAAGAAGTAAGAAATTTGCTCCATCATGGAGATGATGTGATGTGCACAACTGGAGTGAACTGTTTCTGGATTATACATAATTCACAGCAATTGCTTTCGACCTTAAGTAAGATATAATTATTTTCTACCGCTAGGCCTTTAGATTGTTCAACACTCTATACGAGCATTCCTCAAACAAGCCTTACTTAAGCCTACAAGGTGAGGGACAGTGTCTTACTTGGTCCGTTTGTGTGTCTGTCTGTCTGTTACCACATTTTCTGCCACCAAGCGCAACAGGACAACAAAGCGCTACACTAACTTGCGTGTTGTTATGTAATTACCACAAACTACCGCATACACATACCCCAACCCATCCGTTAGCGGTACCACGCATGTGCAGTGCACTGAGGATTTTGCACTTTAGTGCTTTTCATTACTCACAATTTGCGATGAGACACTATAAACTTAAACAGCGACTAATCCTCCAAAGTTTCAGAAGCATTATGTGTAGATTTTTTGTTTTGTGGAAATTGCAAAGAAGTACACCTAGATAATATGGTTGCAGTATACATAAGCATAATTATTGAAGATGGTGTGTGTTTACCAGCAATGGATGAGTTCCAGAGTCACCATGTCTCACATGTACTGCTGTTAGTGTAGCTGTTACCTGTGGTTAGGTTTGAACACTAGGTGTGTGGGTGTAGTTGGCTAGCCGTAAAAGACTCTTTAACCCACCAACCCCTGTTCTCAACTGGGCACCTGGTCTCCGACCTTTCTTTGTGTGTGCGTGTATAGTGTTGTTTTTTCGGTGTGTGTGTGTATTGTGTGTTGTTATTTATGTACTTGTGTGGAAAATTGGTATCTCTAGGTACACAGTTTTTTCATGTCGACTAAGTGTCATCTCCATGCAAGCAACGGTTAGCAGAGATTTAGGAGTGAAGAAGTGCTTTTTATTAAGGGAAGTGCCTAAGGCTAGATGTGTCGTCATGGAAATGAATGCATGCATGTAATACACATACATGCTAAGTTCCATTTCCATAGAAGGCAAAGTAAAAAACATATGGTCGCCATGGAAATGATGTAATACCCATGTGTACATAGTTTCATATACATGTATGCTACAACTACCAGGAGGAGTGCAGCACATATTTTAAAGAAAATTGCCTGAAGCTATATAATATATGGGGTCGTCATGGAAATGATGTAATATGTATGCGTACCAGGTTTTCATCTCCATGTATGTTACCGTCAGCAAGTTGCTGGAATGAAGGAAGTAATTAGTTCATGAGGCTATTGTTGTTAACCCCTCGGCGCGCATGCGCAGCGAGGGTTACAGTACTTGGTTTGTCCGTCTGTTACCACGTTTTCTGCCACCATACGCAACAAACAGGTAAAATAGCGACACCAATGGGTTCAGCGCTACACTGGCTTGATTTTTAAAATGGCGATTTTCGTAAAAGTGACAGGTTCAAAAGTTATGGCGTGAAAACCAAGTGAACAAGCCAATATGCTAATTAGCACTAGCTTACCTCGACCTGATCCGCTTTATCTGTGTACCTCGGAGGCACAAGAAGTCACAACGAAGGGCGTGTATCGACTCCCGCATGCTATCTACTACTGTAGCTAGCCCATGTCAGACTCTCCGCCAACTACTAGCGGGAGATCACGCGTAAACGCAGACTAATAGACCCAGCCCATCAATTAGAGGTACAGTGCATGCGCAGTTCGCCGAGGGTTTGCACTTTAGTGCTTTTCATTTACAAACATGTAGTCGTCATGGAAATGATGAAATGCATGCGTACCAAGTTTTATCTCCATGCGTGCAGGCATTAGGACGTTTGAGAAGTGAAGAAGTAATTTTAAAGAGAGGCAATTTGTTGTTGTTTACGAACCTGTATTGTTGTTTGTTGATGCTGGTGATAAGTATGACCATGCACATCCGGTTATCAAAGTTTCATGGCTTTATCTATTTTAGTTTTTGAGTTACGAGTGTATCAGAACAATGAGAAGATGCTATCACTAAGTACGGTAATACTTAATATGTAAGGATGGCACAGGTTATCTGCATTATGCCCATACATTTGAGATTTGTACATTTCACTTTCAGTTTCTATCAGATCCAACTATTGAAACTGATCCCACTTTTGACATATCAATCTGGGTAAAAAAAAGCATGTACCTACGACACAGTACGTCATTTATACAAGAAAGTTAGTTTTCAAAATTCTTGTTGTTGTTGTTGTTCAGTTTCAACAAGCGTATCTCAAAAGCCAGGTGAGATGTGGAAATGAAACTTTGCACGACGATGACAGGTTGTGCAAGAGCATTTTAATTTTTTTGTACAAGCCCCAGGGCATACATTATGATGTAGACCAATAAAGTGTGCTAATTAGTTAATATAATGGCAACACTCAGCAAGATAAAACTTCACATACGCAACCCATAATTAGTACAAGAATATAAACATACATGTTTGTAAACAACAACGAACAGCCTCAGGCAATACAAACTTGTAAATTGTGTTTTGCCAAAACTTGCTTATACTGGGTCATCTAATAATGAAACTGTGTACACTTTGGTGAAAGAACATGTGAATGACGACAAAAATATCCATACACTAAAAAAGGAAGGAAACAAGTAAAAAGTGGTGAATATAGAAAAAGCAAGGAGACAAAACAGGGGTGACCTAGTGTATGTGATGTAGTATATAGGACAATGGATGGTGGCTACGTATTGTACATGTGATGCTCATGTACCATTTTCCCCCACACAAGCCCTATATTTTCGAGAAGCATGAGTGTGTTCCTTAAAGAATTACTCATTTTCTAAGCAAGTAATGCACAGGTGTTGACAGCTCTTTAGTTGTGACTGCATTGTCCACTTCCATGTTTGCTCAACTAACCAATTCTACACTTTTGTGGAAGAAAATGTACACGCGCGAGCAATGTCAGTTTGAATAATAATTATGTAGCCATCATCCATTGTACTACTGCATCACATACACTACGTCACCCCTGTCTTGTCTCGTTGCTTTTTCAGGGGTGATAGCGTGCTCAAATATGTTCGTTAACCATGTTTCATGTATACCATCCCTCTCTTGTCTCCCTTTCTTTTCAATGTTCGCTCATTCCTGGTAATGGCAATTACGGGCCCAGCTACTACACTAATTATCATAAAGCAAAGAAAAGCACAAAAGTGCAAATAATCAGCGCCAATGGCCTACGGTAGATACGCACTACGCATGTGCAAAAGTACCGCTAATTGATGGACTATGGACTGTGTCACACCCACGTGGTCGCTATCGGTGTCAGTTTGTTACGCTAGCAGGAGCAGCACTCGTCCTCCAAGTAACTTAGTGTGTCCCACCATGTGTTGATGGGTAATCACCAGTAGAGGTAAGCTATTGCTTATTAGCATATACGCTTTTTCGCTCATTTTTCACCCCAAAACTCTGTTTGTATCGCTTTAGTGCCAGAATAGCAGTTTACTCTAACTCTCACGGAACATGCACATTGAGGGTTGATAATCCATTGCTGGGCTATAATCTATATACGGCTTTTTTCAGCAGCACCTGATGCTGTGTACTATACCATTACTGATGTTATAGTAATTAGGTACCGCTTTACGTACATGCACCTTTTCCATACCTAGAGATTAGCACTCTATCATCCACTTTAGGCTATTGTCGTCAAACAATTGGATCACAAGAATCTCGATTTTGATGTTCCATATTTCAAGCAGTGTATCAGGTATGTATCCTATACTAACTTAGGTTGGGCATAATATACATGTGTGGGTATATTAGAACGAATGCAAAACATTTGGCGAGAGAAGTTTTTTTGTGAGGGATAGTTTGTTGCACGCAATCTGCTGGAAAAACCGAGGTTGATAAGCTCTGGCGTTATTGTGTAACTACACAAAACATTGTCCTTGTTTCAAGAGTGTAACATATTCCATCAATGTGTTATGAGCCAGTGCTGCTGTTGCGCTCGTTTTCCACTGGAAGAACCCGGTGCATGGGTCACTTGTATAAAAGATATTACACCTGAATAGTGGGAGTGTGCAACTTCTAAGGGTAAGCATAAGGCATTGAAACTATTCTTCAGTTGCTGTTGTGCATCTTCTCCTGGGGTTTAGGGTGGACAGCCGGACCTCCAACAGGTCAGTGCGCTCTCAGACACACACTGAGATACAACAAAAACAAACGTAATTGCATAATCTGAATCCTCACTAATTCTTTGGGACATATAATTTTGTATTTTGTTGACTTAAAGTTTTATTTCTCATGATTTATATAATTATATGCAAAATCAAATTCATGATTCTGTAAATGGTTTCGATATTTTCCTGTTACATTTTGCATTACGCAGAGTACAAGTAGTGTGCTTGCCTGATACTCAGAGCCGTAGCGTTTTTTTCTTTCGCTACATGGTGGTTCCGTGGCATCTTTTGCTAATTTTTTAAACCAAGTTTGAGGCCCTAGAAAGACAGCTAGTGAGATAGAAAGCTCCCAGGACGCTTAGAGATTTTACTTCTGGTCGCCATTTTTTGGGCCCGGCCACCCCCTTAGGTGCTCGTATAAAATATGCATTACACGCTGTTGAAGCTGCGGAAATCCTGTTCTGTTAGACAATAGACAGAAATAGTTGAAACTGACATGACCGTATCCATCAGACAACCACCTATTATTAATACAAAACAGGTGGTTTTCTTAGAGCCTGTCACAAATTTAGCAGGCTTTGAGAAAAACAACCCTTGTTGTGCACATAGTATTACTGTAGTGGCAGCTGTTTTACAACAGGTACGGTCGTTTCATCGAGTTAAGTTTTTTCTCTTATTCTAATAACCTCGTCTATTGTCTAACGTTTGTTTAAGTTTGAGGCGTCAGCTCCATTCCGTTCGTTGATTTTGCCATGAGTATCAGGCAAGTATGCTACACGAACACTGTGTAGGTAAGGAAATGTGCCATGGAAAAAAATCAGACCTTTTACAGAGACACGTACACCGAAATTTCTGTTGTTACCTAGCAACAGTCAATGAAGGCACGCGGATGCAAGGAAATGCTTCTTTTATGATTGCCTCAGCCATCAACAGCCACTTCACCTTGAGGAGGCATCCCTCCTTGATGTGATAGAACACCATTTCACTATGCCCTCAACTCACAGCTCTGCTGATTCAGACTGTGAAAGTGACAGTGATGTTGCAGGTGTGCAAAATAAAATATAATAATGCCAACAGAACTGTATTTTGCAGAGTCCCAGACTCCCAGTGAAGATAGCGATGGTAACCAGGAGGAAACTGAGCAAGAATACTTCGACACGAGGTGATAAGAAACACGATATTCTGGAGAGGCTTGATTACACATAGCCCTTCTTCTAGAGTCCAAGGATACAGCAGGTTCGACATCAAGCTTCTACCTTTGTCAGTCTCAAAACGTGGACCCTGTAAGGTCTAACAGGCCGCTACGAGTGACGCAGTGCATGTTGTAGGCTGCTCCACATAGGCAATCATTACTACCATCAGTGAGAGGAAAGCACAGCAATCCAGCGATCCTCCAACCAACCTCTCAGAGGAGAGGTCAACAGGAGTATTGTCAGTACTTCAGACCCATGCTTCTTTCTATACCCCTCCTCCTGCCAGTCTAATTCCTCCCAACTCTAGGACCATCAAAGTCAGCTACAGCCTTTTTCACTGTGCACAGCAGGTTGGGTAAAGAGTATGATTTTGATCATATTCTAGGTGCATTTCCCCTCCAACCCCATGCAGCCAGGTCCATCTACATCGTAACTCAGAGGAAATGCTTGGTGTTTGGAACACACTGCGAGGTTATCCCTCGCCAGATCAACTTCTTTGTTGTCGGAATAAGTAGGTAAGGGAGCCAGTCGGCTGCACTACTTCTTTGACATGCATGGTCTAGGGGAAACAGATGTGAAACTTCACACGGACAACTGTACCGGACAGAATGAGAACAACGCCATGGTAAACTACTTGATGTGCAGAGTGATGAAAGGATGACACACAAATATTACATACTCGTTTCTCGTCATTGGGCACACTGCCATAAAGAGCATCAAGACACCGTAACTCCTGAGCCATCCACCCCAAACCCCAAAAAAAGGCGCACACTAGCACCTGAAGAATAGTTTTAACTGTACCTTACAATAAATCGGTGGTGCTCATGACAGCACAACAACAAACCATACTGCGCCAACAACATATAGCATAGCTAGCTCCCATACGATGTTCTGCCTCATGCACCGAACTGTTAACCCTCCTAAACAGCGCCAGTGTAAATACGCACATCTAATAAGAATTGCATGTGACCGTGCAACTGCGAGAGCAGCCAGGCCAAACATGGCCAGCTTAATAAACATAGTAAACTCCACTGCAAATAATCTAACTCCAAACCCTCCCTGGGGGCACACCGAAAACTAGCATAGCCCACAGTAGCTTCATACCACCATCGCTATAATAATATTGCTAAGTCTAGCTTAAACATTTACAGCCCAAAACATTACGTATAAATACTAAGATGACAATACATAGCGCTATAAGACTTATGTCAGGAATGATACGTGTTCGCCACCCATGATAGCGAGCACAAACTACAACTACCAGCCATGTATTTCTCAATACAAAATCCTGCTCTACAGTTTCTAGCAGGCCTGCTAAAGTTTATGTGCAATATGAGTATTATTGAGTCACTGTAGAATGCTGAGCTGAAATTGTTCCCACTACAACCGACTGAAATAAGCCCCTCATAAAAAGTGATAGCATCCCATCCGTGGACAAAGTTTGCGAGGTGTCGTCCGTCAGGGCAAATGAATGGCCAAAATGGTGCTGATTTACATGCTGGGATAATAAGTGTACCCACTGCAGAACAGGCCTTTGCATGCTTGAGTACCCGCACAATTAGGTGTAGAGGAGGATCCAACCAACAACACTCTCCCAGCCATGAGACCATAAAAGCATGAGCAGCTTCCGAGCTAGTGAGACAGATTTAGCAAGACTAAATGACTGCGTCCACACACTGACCAGTACTAAGTTTTAGTTACCAGCAGGGGACAAGAACGTCGAAAATGTCCAATTTTCCCACACTGAAAACATGGGCCAAAAGCTGAGCCCTTTGCAGGCTGCTGCATGCCATAAAAACTCAGCTGGCTGGTGGCTGAGGAATCTCCTTTCGCCTGAGACACAAGAAACACTAGTTGCTAATGGGAAAACACCTCCCCTGCGATTTGTAACTTGCTTCTTTGCCTTGGCTTTATTTGCTTTTAGTTTCCTACCAGCCCAAGACTCAGCTCTGAACAGTCTCTCTTCGTCATCAGTATTATCTGCCAACTCGTCATAATGTACTCTTCCACCGTCGCCCACCCATGCTCAGACCTATCAGCTACTTCTTTTTTTTTTCTGTCTCTCAGTAATTTGTTATTCACCCTCCTTTAGCGCTTTCTTGGCCTTCTCTACGTCAGGTGTGCCCCCACTGAGATGACCAGCAGCTCGCTCCATCTTCTCCCGCACTTGCTCGTTAAAATCGAATTGCCGCTCGTTGCCTTTCCACTTGAAATTCATCTTATTCTCCAGACGTAGATTAGACACTCGTCAGCCTCCTCTCTCTCCTCCGCCATCTCCCAATGCATAGAAGAGAGGTGGTCCTGCATACCGGTGACAGCGGACTGCTGAAATCCGGATATCGACACGTTTGACGTCGTCGTACGGTATGAACTACTGCTCCCCCCCCCCGTAGCCATTACCACAGGCCCAGGTTAGCCAATGATGTACAGAGACGAGAAACCAGCGGGGAAAAAACATTGCTTCTGCCCAACAGGAAGAAGTTGCCGAGAGAATGACACCGTCGGCGCACTCCCGTCTTTAAAAACCTTCGTGACTGTCGTGCCATGCAGTGCAGTCATCAGACCATGCACGCCTCCCCAAACTATGGGAGATTATTTTCTGTCTAATTCACTGCCATCAAACAAAATAAGGTTTTTGCCCTCTTTCTCTCTATACATTGCTGGAAACGACCCACACATCTGCTTATATTTGTTTGGTGGCAGAAAAACGAGTGCAACGACAGCACTGGCTGTACTGAAAAGTACATACATCTTCAATGCATTACACTATCCTTACCTTTAGTCTAAGTGTAACAGCTTGCACTCACACAACAGACTTTCCTTAAAAACGACCGCAAAGTCAGCACTGCCACTGTCCCCTGTGGTTCCCCACAGCTGGCGAGTATGGGGCGTGATCAGTGCCAAAATGATGTTTTAAAACTTATGTGGCATAGAGTGCATTATGTAGCTGTCCTTTCCATAGATGATGTAGTGACTTTCCTTTGATGTTGCTGGTTCTACATTATGTAGTATATTTTACATTCTATAGTACGTTTAACATTATGTATTGCGTTTTGCATTATGTGGTTTTAGGTGTATTCAGGTGGGAACCTAAAACCTCGAGAGCAACCAGCTCACGGTAAACAAATTCCAGCTGCAAACGATGGGCATCAAGTTCATCATGACCTTCGTCAGAGCTTGATAGGTCGCTAACAATCCTTCCAAGTGCAGCAATCCAAAACTAAGGTCAACTAAGGTCAAGGTGCAAAGAGCAGCCACACTCACATTCATCGCAAAATGTTGAGGATGATGGTGCACTTATTAACCCTTGGCGCAAATGCACAGCAAGGGTTACTGTAGTTGTCGTGTGTGTCTGTCTGTCAGCGACCTCACTTCACAAGCTAGCAATCGCTCTACGAACGATACCACGTATTCAGCATCGGATAAAGGTTGAAAATATGTGGGGTTTTCTCTGAAACTGCTGTGTTTGGGAGTTACGGCATGAAACACGAGCGAAAAAGGCAATATGCTAATTACCTCAAGCGGGTCCCCTTCCTCGGGCACAAGAAGTCACAGCGAAGGGCATGTGCGACTCCCGCATGCTATCTACTGCTGTAGCAAGCCCGTGTCAG